TCCGCAACATCCCCCCCCCCCGAGGTGGTCCGATCAGCGCCCGCTGACCCCCGTCCGGAGCCCGCCTCCAGCATCGGCAGCGCCGCCGCCCGCCGCCAGTCGCTGCCACCCCAGCCAACCTCCGGCATGACGGGCCGTCTGCCTGCAGGCATCCCCGCCGCCATGCGCGGCTGGGGTTCAGGCATGGCAGGTGTGGCGGCGGCCATGCCGGCTTTCAGCGAAATTGGCATGCCTCTAATATTTTGCCGTTGACAGATGGCCGTTCCGGCTGCGTCGCACACCGGCCAACCGGTCTCTCACCGTTGAGAGCCGCATTCTCACCAGCACAGAAGCGTGTCCTCTTTTCACAGTTACTCACATGAATTGAGTGACATGTGTTCCGTCAGATTATTTATGACGTCATGTACTGTGACCGGCAGGTGATCGATCCCCAAGCTGACACATGCCAGCAGCCCAGAGGCGCAGCAGTCTGACCCCACGAGCCGTCATCTGCCAGCAGCCCAGAGGCGCAGCAGTCTGACCCCACGAGCCGTCATCTGACAGTAGCCCGGAGGTGCAGCAGTCTGACCCCACGAGCCGTCATCTGCCAGCAGCCCGGAGGCGCAGCAGTCTGACCCCACGAGCCGTCGTCTGACAGCAGCCCGGAGGCGCAGCAGTGTGACCCTCATGCGTCCGCCGGCCGCGCGGTGGAACCGTCAGGACACGCCCACTGGCACACCTGAGACCAAGCCCGGGAGCGCGTTCAGCGCACGCCGGCCTCCGCCAACGCCGCTCTAAACACGGCATTAGCAACTGTCCGTGTATGCGTCGTTAGAGAGCGTGTGCGCGCCGGCCGTTCTATCCCCCGGCCGCCTCAGATTGGCGGGCACGCGCCGGCTTCCGGGGCAGCTGGAGCGGCGCAGCGGGCGCCCGAAATAGCCGCCGCCCGCCTGACAATGACAGAGGCGGCGGCGCCAGCTGTCCGCCCGTCCACCCCCGCGCCGGGCCCGGAGATCGTCAGGGCCCGCGCCCCTGATGCAGGCGCGCCGCCATTGTATGGACGCGTCGCTGCTCCTGCCGCGCCTAATTGAGACTTATCATTACGAGCAGCCATCCGCGTCATCTATCACCTCTCATTCATGTCGGTGCGTCCCTCAACGCGGCGAGGACTGGGCCACTCCATATCGGCCAAGCCACACGCTGGACAAATATGGAGTGAGTTACAAGCTGCAGTGCACATAGATAGTCTTAAAGGCGACCTTATCCGGCTCAGCATGTGTAACTGAAGTACATAATACTGGTGATAACGATCGCTTTGACAGGGTGCCTGCTCTTTTATTGGGGAATTGATTCATAGCCATATTTAACCTTCTACGGCACAGTGCTTGATACGTTCAAGACTCGCATCGCGCAGTGCCCTTTTATGCTGGAGGGGCCCAGGCTCACCAGTCGTTTTTCTTTTTTGCCATAGACTGGCCGGACAATTTCGACCCAAAGAGCGTTTGCAACCCATTAGGCTCGAACAGCTGAAATATTGTCATTTGGAGGATGAACTTCCGCCGTAACTCTATAGCGTAAAGCACTGTCAGAATTCAAAAGTACCAATGACGTTTGCTCGGCTCCCACATGGTTCATGATGAAGCCAGGCTGTGCGTAATTATTCCAGTATTAGGAAGAAAATCAACAGCCAATGAAATAAAGACGCCACGTGAAGCAGGGGAGCATGCCTAAACTTCCCACGCCGTTATCTCTTTCGAAATTATTTTCCGGTAGACTAAAGGCGTTTCACCGTTGCTGACGGTTGCTATCTCCTATCATACAGCAGCGATAGCCAACGATTGCTGCAGCGTCTGAACGGCCTGTCTTGAAGTTATGCACTTCCTTATCGCTCTGCGCCTCGCTGGGTAGGGGGATTCCTTGCTGTTTGTTCATGGATGACGGAGGGAGAATGCCGCTAGGTACAGTCCTGTCCAGATGTTCAGCAGCTTTTTTCCTGGTCTGGTGTGGTGCGGATCTGCCCCTCCCTTCCTGATCCCTCGGGCTGGCGGACAGCCGGCCATGTGGCGCTGGACCGCGGGGCACAGCCGGACCGCGGCCGGCGCGGCCCGCAGCGGTGGAGACCGTGCCCTCGAGGCCGGCCGGCGGCGGCGCGACACGCGACACGCGCCACACGCGCGACCAGCCAGTCGTCAACACGCTGGAGGGGCCCGAGTCCAGCTCCAGCCGGCGGACGGCCGACGAGTGAGGGGAGGAGAGGGGGACGGGCGTCCCCAGCCGGCCCAGCAGCGGCGCGACGTCGCCCAAAGTGCGACGGCCGGCCGACAGCTGATGGCGGTTCGCGCGGTAGCCGCCAGGCGGCAGCACCGGACGGCGGCCGCGCGGTGATCCGCCCGAACGAGGTCGTGCCAGGTCGCCAGGCAAACACAACGCACCATGGAGTTCCGTCCATCACGGCGACTTCGACCGGTGCCACCGCTGCGTGCGTCGTCTCTGTGTGTGTGTGTGTGTGTGTGTTTGGGAGATGCCCGGCCCGGCCGGCGGCGGCGGCGGAGACCCGTGGCTGCCGGTCGATCCGCCGCCGCCCCGTCGGCCGGCCCACGTCGTGCAGGTGGGCGGGCGAGAGATAATGATCGGGGGGGGGGGGGGGGAGGGACCTCCCCGTCCGGTGGGCCGCGCGTGATCGGTGCCCGATATCGGCTGACATGCGGACCGCGACCGTCGTCAGCGGGCCGCGCCGCCAACCGCCGCCGGCCGATGGCACGCAGGACGGACGGCGGGGCCAGCGAACGCACTCCACCAGCCCCAGCTCGCCCGCGAACGCGCACCCCACCGACCTGATCAGTATTTCGCAGCGACGGTCAACCCACTGTCACTCTTCGTTTCCCAGCGGCGTTGGAGTACATGCCACTCATCACATCCAAGGCGATGACATTGCTTTGAGGCTAATTATGAGGGATAGCCGTTGGAAGCTCATCGCGAACTAATAACCAGCACCGCTCGCAGTTCAGATAACTCAGCGCAATTTCCAACGACCTGCCCGTGGACGGCCTTGTTGATTTGAACGGAGCAGCTGGGCGGATATCGCCGGCATCGCGGGCGCGCGTGGTGTGCGCACACCACCATCCGAACCCGGCCAGCCAAGGCCGCCGCGTCACGGGCCCGCCTGCGCCGCCAGCAGCGATCAGCGCAGCCCAGCGATGGGCGGCGGCCTGACGCGACAGCTGACGCAGCTCCGGCCGGGGCTCGGCCGGACCGCGGTCTCCGCCCAGGGCGGCGCCGTCAGGAGACCGTGCGCGCGCCGACGGCTCGCCAGGCCGGTCCGCGCAGCACGCATGCGCGTGGGTTATGTTCAGATTGGGAGTCAGCAAGTCTGGAGAGACTGGGCAGCCATTACGCAAAAGGTGTTTCCCATCGGATTTCTATTTCGGAAACGGAAGCGAACGATTTTGATGCATTTCAGCCCATCTCTCCTTTTCCCCAGGTCGAAAGGCCCCACGCATTACGGCCCCTAAAACCAAACTACTGGGAAGTTCCTTCCACCATCACATTTCCGTCCCGCTACTTCAGCCAGATAGTGACGTGCGCTTTGTTGGCAAGAAGACTGTCGGCCAAAGTAGCCACCACGAGGCATGATTTTCCTCTGTTGAGATGTTTCACGCCAAATTTACTCAGGAGCACACTCCCCCCCCCCGCCCTCCCCCCAGCAGCGCGAAACACGAGAGCAGACAGCTCCCATTTCCCGCACCGCTATCCAGACAGCCCCCGCCGCCCCCCTCGCGTCCAGACAGTTCGCAGAAACCAATCCCAGAGGACTACCTCGCCAGGAAAATCAAGCCAGTACCCCAGACCGCGTCAGGCCGGCACGGGTCGCCTCCTCTGCGGCCGGTCTCCGGCAGGCGGTGCCGCCGCCGGCGTCAGCGGCGGCCGGAGCCGAGGTCGGCCCAGCAGGCGCTCGCCCGGTCGGCCGGTCGGTCGCTCGGCTGCCGGCCGTGCCCAGACCGTGCGTCACGTCCGGGCGCCGCATACCAGGCGGCCCGGTGGCGCCGGCCGCCCCGCCCCGCCCCGCCGGCCGGCCGGCCGGCCGCACCTGCTCCCGGCGCCGCCAGCTGACGACGCAGGCAGCCGACTGGGCGGCGAGTCACGCGCTCAGGCTGACAGACAGCCAACTGACGTGTCGAATCACGGGCTCAGGCTGACAGGCAGCTGCCTGCTGAACTGAGTCGCGGGCTCGGGCTGACAGGCAGCTGCCTGCTGAACTGCGTCACGGGCCCAGGCTGACAGGCAGCCGCCTGCTGAACTGAGTTGCGGGCTCGGGCTGACAGACAGCTGCCTGCTGAACTGAGTCGCGGACTCGGGCTGACAGACAGCCAACTGACGTGTCGAATCACGGGCCCAGGCTGACAGGCAGCTGCCTGCTGAACTGAGTTGCGGGCTCGGGCTGACAGACAGCTGCCTGCTGAACTGAGTTGCGGACTCGGGCTGACAGGCAGCTGCCTGCTGAACTGCGTCACGGGCTCAGGCTGACAGGCAGCTGCCTGCTGGACTGAGTCGCGGGCTCGGGCTGACAGGCAACTGCCTGCTGAACTGAGTCGCGGGCTCAGGCTGACAGGCAGCTGCCTGCTGAACTGAGTCGCGGGCTCAGGCTGACAGGCAGCTACCTGCTGAACTGAGTCGCGGGCTTAAGCTGACGGTTGCTGACGGATGCGGTTATTCATATCCGGATGCTACCTGGTTTATGATCTCCTGCGAAACCTTTTTCTATCCGACTGATAAGTATTGTAGATGACAAAAACGCAAATGCAAAAGTATGGAAGCGGTAGTAAGGAATGGAAAAATAGTAAGAAAGGAAATACCAATGGCAGCTGCCATTGAACAGATCCAATCATTTTTCCGTTTCCGGGTTAGCCTGATGGCTGCTTCGGAGAATTGGCTTCATATTTCAGCAGTACATGGCTCCACAAGCGACGGAAGAGAACCGCGACTTTGCCAAGAACATGGCAAAGTCGAAGCCGCCGACTCACCTTGCTGAAGTACCCCACCACGTGGCAGCCCTCCGAGTTGGCCACGGTCATGACGTAGAAGAGGAACGGCTCGACATCGAAGTACAGAGTCTTGTTGTCGAGGAAGAGCTTGGCGAGGAGGCAGAGGTTCTGGCAGTATGATTTGAAACGGCGGCCGTCCACCTCAAAGACCGAGAGCGCCTCTTTCCTGCGGAGCACCGAACCAGGACGACACTGAAAAACTACCGGGGCGGCCTTTGGCACCCTACTGATTATTCATTGTTTAACCATTTGTTTTAATTCAAGGAATGAGGCCGCAGTGCAGTTGTTAAAATATGCAGTTCTGGCAAATTTTCTGCACCCACAGTTATAAATTTTTCTCCAATGCAACACGGAATTAGTGCCACTATGTCACTGAATAACAGAAAATTGGAATACATATTTTTTACTAACGACCCTGGGTCATTGTTAGAGCGAACAGTGCATTTTGCGTTATTTTATGCAATGATGTTTCCAAATGCACCTCAACGAGCACTCCCGAATTATCAAGCTATAAGTCATGGTGAAGGTGACCTTAGTCGCATGACTGACTCGCTAGCGTGGAATGGGAATCGTTGAGCATGGAGGAAGGGCTCGCTGAGCATAGATCGACACGTTAACGTTGACCACTCCCCATGACACCCTCTTACGCTCATTATCTCCTTTTTAACAAGGCACTACCCACGTTTTCCCAGTGATCTCCGTGGAGATCAATTTATATGCCAGTATTTCTATTGAGACACAACAAACCAACATCCGGTATCGTGCCTATTAGGAATGAACAATGGCAGGAAGCAAAGCAGCAAAGGACCAGCTTCATACATGCATGTCATTCCATCATTTCTAACGCACAACTTCCAGCATTGCTCTTCATACATTTAACATTGATTCATCGCAAATCAAAATTCGCATCACCCTACTGCCACAAAACAGCACGAGGTTAACTGGTTCCAGAGACAACACCAAACAAAAATCGAAACCAAAGCGTACAAAACCGAAGCAAGCAGACTGAACCCGAAAAGTTATTGGACGTATGTTTTCCTTTACCCTTTTGAAAACCACCCGTCACCAAAAACAGCTAACAAGCCGAAGGAACGACAGGAAACCGTTCGCTACATTCTTCGACACACGTTTCTGCCAGCGGAGCACCATACACTGGGCGCATCATGTGAGAATGGCCGAAGTTCGCGGCAGGAAATTTCGTGCCGGTGCCGAAGACCTAGAAGCCAGCCCCGGTCCACGCCCCGGCCCGGCCCCACCCGCCGGCCCCGGTCCATGCCCCGGCCCGGCCCACCCGCCGGCCCCGGTCCATGCCCCGGCCCGGCCCCACCCGCCAGCCCCGGTCCATGCCCTGGCCCGGCCCACCCGCCGGCCCCGGTCCATGCCCCGGCCCGGCCCACCCGCCGGCCCCGGTCCATACCCTGGCCCGGCCCACCCGCCAGCCCCGGTCCATACCCTGGCCCGGCCCACCCGCCGGCCCCGGTCCATACCCTGGCCCGGCCCCACCCGCCAGCCCCGGTCCATACCCTGGCCCGGCCCACCCGCCGGCCCCGGTCCATGCCCCGGCCCGGCCCACCCGCCGGCCCCGGTCCATGCCCTGGTCCATGCCCCGGTCCATACCCTGGCCCGGCCCACCCGCCGGCCCCGGTCCACGCCCCGGCCCGGCCCACCCGCCGGCCCCGGTCCATACCCTGGCCCGGCCCACCCGCCGGCCCCGGTCCATGCCCCGGTCCATGCCCTGGCCCGGCCCACCCGCCGGCCCCGGTCCATACCCTGGCCCGGTCGGCCTCACCTGTAGATCTCGTCTCCGGGTGGGAAGCGCCACACACACTTGGCGTTGTGCCGCTCGAGCGACGTGCGGCAGCGCAGGTACTTGAGGCAGTACTGGCAGATGTACATCTTGGAGCCGCGGGGAAAGTCCTCCGGGTACGGCGATTGGTACCACACCTCCATCTCGAAGCGGCCCATCTCGATCGAGTACAGACCGGGCGTGTCCGGCAGGTTGCGCAGGTCGTCCTCCTGCGGAAGGAAGGACATGAAATGCAGCTGCGGCACATAGTCGCGGTGTGTTTTGGTCATCATTCTCATCGATGATGACGTTTGCGGCCATCATCCTCGCCACTCCTGATGTTTGTGATTGTCACAAGCAAAAAAGGTCGTCCCTCGCCGGGCTTATTTTCCACTTTTTCGGGGAAGCTTGCAGGCCTCTTGTTACGCAACGTTCTCCGTTTGCTCGATTGAAGTTGGCAGGCGAATTTAGCAATGTTCATTTCCTGACCATCGACAGCGCGCAAATTTCCGCAAGGTGTATACTGATATCACATATAGTACTCCCGAAACAACTTTGGCGTAATACAAATCCGGTTTCACCGACCTTTGACAAAGCAGATGTTACTTATATCACAAACGAAAACAAGGCTGGTATCTCCATAACTGCAGCAAGCAACACGGCACTGATAAGACAGATGAGTATTTCCCAAAATGCAACAAACAACACGGTTTACCACTTGTACAGCAAAACAGATCGTTAGCGCTCCTCGTTTACTGGAACTGGGCTGCCTCATCAAATGTCATATTTTCTGTTCCTTGACAACTGAAGTTAGCTGCCATGGCTACCCTAGTCGACATCTGTTATTTAAGATCACATGCACTTGTTCCGGAGAGAGAAATTAAGCGCTGACCACTGATAACACATTCGTCCTTGCTGACCCCATGCAGGTCTTAATGCTCTGGTCTTCAGCTCCAAGGTTCTATGGAGTAAAATCGACCTGCTCCTGGCTTCACGGACGACATTTTGATTCAGAACGACATAGATATGTCAGACCGCTTCCAGTATAACAGCTGGCAAGCTAGAACGCGGTGCGGCCCACCCTGTCTGCGTCACAGTTTGCGAAGTGCAGCCTCCTGTTCATTGCCCCTCAAATGTGATGGCTAGCCTGGGACCGCACTCAGCCTTGGCATCTCTCTGTGTGGGGCTCGACATCTGGTCACATTTCTCCGTTGCACGTGACTGGAACATGTGAGAACGGCCCGGCTGCAGCTGGTGACGGGTGCGGACAGGCCCTGACTGAGCAATATTTTGTTGAGCTCTGGTTAAAGGCTCAAAACAGCAAACTATGCGGAGAGGAAACCATATGCCCATTCCACGATGTGGCGATTTTTCTCTTTTGGGGCTTGCTGTTTGCCAGTTATCCAAAGAAATATGTCAATCTTGGTTCCGGGGTAAGACGTGCCATTTTACACAGACAGGTTGTAGAGTCGAAAATGTCGGCGACAGGGGTTTAGTTTGAGCCTTACTGCATGAAATCAGGGACCAGTGGTCAGAACCAAACTGCACCACCGTAACATGACAACGTATTTTTAAGTGGTGAATAGCATTGCCTAGGATATTTGCCATCCAAAATACGCAGCGCGACGACGAAGCCAATGACAATACTAAAGACTAACGAATGAAGCACTAAAACTGTCACACGTAGACAGTTTAGGAAAACAAATCTCGATATCATTTCAAATTCCGCTTCCAACAAACCGTGCGTGGGACAGTATGCGAGTTGATCACCAGCTCCGCCAGCGAAACACTCCTGCACGCTACGGTCTTATAGCCACGCCCTAACTTGCCGCAGCGTCCTAGACGTGATGTAAACGTACAAAACCCGACCAAAAGGGGTACCATGATCTTACCCGTTCACACTGACGTGTCACGTGGCCCTGGCGACCACAAACTTGGCAACCCACGCTTCCCCGTGCAACTGACTTGGGCCGGTGCCTTGTGTTCCCCGCGCTGTCCCGTGGGGCTAACTCGGGATCTTACTCCGGGGCGTCACGCGGGGGAGGCAGCACTCACGATCCGCGCGCTGGCCACCGCCTGCGCCTCGCGGAAGAGCATCAGGTCGTAGGCAGGCGTCAGGTTCTCCAGGTCCGTCTCACGCGCACCGTCCTCGTCCACGGGCTCCAGTTTGCGCTCGGTCGACTCTGCCGACGACACGGGGAGGGGAGGCGGGTCAAGCGGCCGCCAGGGGCACCGCGCCCGCACCCGGTCATCAGAGGTCAGAGGCAGGGCCGGGGCTCGGAAGCCGGGGCAGGGCCGCAGGCGTCCGCGATGGCAGCTTCTCGGTTGACTGAGGTCCTGGAGGCGATTGCGCGCCTGGCGAAGTGACCTACTTCGATATTACCCTGAACGCTATCACATGCACCATGAGACGGTCACGCACTCGCAGGCACGCATGGACACGCGTCACACGGTTACAGGCACGCGGGCGCGCGCGCTACCCACGCACATTTCCGGCCCATAACAAACGGGTCGATGTGTCATCTTTCTTGTCACGCGATGTTTGAACAAGCCGATGAAAAGGGTTGTGATGACTGGGGTGGCAGCAGTTTCATTCATATTGAGTTATGTGTTAAACCTGCAGTGATATACGCGCTGGCGATCACAGTTATAACTAGTTCACATATCAGACGGAAAGCCAAACTTCACCAGTCCGCCGGTGGGATAAACATCTGCATACTGCCCGTCCTTGAGGGTTACACGAGATCATAACATGAGCTCGTTTCTCATCCAATGATCCCACAGCTCTAGCAATAGCATGATAGCCATTCAGCAATTTTCGCGTATGGCAGGAAGTCCCAAAAGTGTATTTCGACTCCCAATAGTGCTTGATTATAATGATAAGTTGAGATTTTAAGACGCGTCCGATAGTGTTTCCGCTGAGCTTTTGAGATAGGTGCCGATGCATCACACCGAACCGATACGCCATCAGTCCCCAAGTCTCCGATCAGGGAGCTTGGCATGGCTGGAAATTTGGGTGTTCCGTGAAAAACAGGGTAACAGAGCGTCCGGGAGCTTGCCCCAACTCGCCGCTATCCGAGGTCGGTATGTTTTGTGGCGAATTCACCAAGCTTGTGCTCGAACCTACCGCGCTTCCCTAGGGCTCCACGCTGACTACAACCTGACCGACTTCTAACCGTACAATGATATTGTGCCTCCAAATGTATCGCGCGATAAAAATCAGATAAACCGCAAGCAGCATCTGACAAGCTTCTTGATGGATGTTCTTCACCTTGCAATTAAAGGTCTTCACGTGTAACCGCATGTCACTCAAACGGGGGGGGGGGGGGGGGGGGGGGGGCTGTTCATCAGAGACGGACGTTGGTCATGACTAGATCGATCGTCATGGGTTATGTTACATGTGAGAGATAAATGTGTGTATTGGCTATGTGCCGTGTTAGATATGCACACGTCAAAAATGGATCAGCAAGCCCTAAAGATGCAAATGACGAATCCCAGAAATTGACGTGGCGAAGGAGAAGTGGCCGTTCCACTTCTCCACACTTCTTCAAGGCTGCGTTACTTCCTTTTCCTGCACATGCCGCGCGAGTCAGCTTCACCCTCCGGGCTCTCTGACCACTGCTTTTCGCCCAGCTGACGGTCATCACGTGCATTCTCCGCGGGCAATGGGAGCGGGCACGTGAGCACCGCAGACCACGTGCGGTTTCTTTGTCCGTGAGACTCACGAGCGCCGGCGCCGGCCGCGCTGGATTTTCCCGGCGCGGCCATGCTGGACCGACACCCGGCTGGCCGCTACCAAGGTCGGCTGGCCGTAGGGTCAAGGTCAGAAGGGGACAGAGGGGCGTGACCCCGGCCCGGCCGCCCAGGTACATGCGTGCGCCACAGAGCTCTCGCTCCGCGAAAATGCCCAAGTCGGGAGGGAGGGATGTCATGGCATTGGGCTTGTAATGGGAGAGAGAGTACTCTGCTGACAGGAAGAGACACGCAACAAAAGGCATCACAACTGCGCCACTAGGGATGCGTCACTGATGTCGACCTTGCAGTGTCCAGTGTACGGAGCCCGGGCGGTGGGGCAGCCGAACCGCGATGACTCAGGGGCAGCCAGGGACACGGCGCGAGCCTGGCGCGCGACGCTGCACTGCCTCGAGATGACCCCCCACCCCCACCCCCACCCCCAGAGAATCATGCAGCCTTTCCCAGTATGAATCTAACTCATTGGCACATGACGACACCGAGTGACGTCACAGCACAAGCGTCGAAGCGAACGTTCAACGATCTATTAACAGCGTGGAAGTATGTTAATTGTTCACATTCATGTGCTCAGTTTTCTTACCAAACTCAAGCACCACTCAAGACAACTACTACACTGGGCCATGTGCCTTTACCTAACATGCCTCGCTGAACAAAAGCAATGCGTTGTCATGCATTATGGTAACAGTTCCGCGAAGATAAATTGAAACAAGTAGGGAGAATAGGCAGAATCGTGTTTGTTCGCGTTACCAAGAAGCCTGACTAGCAGCCACGTCACACAGAGTATATGGCGGTGTTGATCGCAATGTCCGCCGACGGGGACCGCCAGCATTAGAACGGCTAAACGCCGCTGTCGTCTCCAAAGACGAGCTGCTGTCCAATTCAGTTCGCTGCGCGAGATCCTGTGTGCTGGCCGGTTTTTGTGGAACATCAGCCGGCAGATGTTTAATAAAGGACAATGTCAACACGTGCATGCCCCGCAGTCCTGTACAGGCGGGACTCGCGCCTCATTCGCATGGCACAGATCATGACGTCATGGCATCATGACATCAAACGACGCTCTCAGTCACAGGCAAAATGCGAACCCCAAAAAATCGACAGCATCCCGCTCGTCTCTTCCATCCAACTGAGCCCGCCCCCTACAGAGGACGGCGTTCAGTTACTACCGCCTGATCGCCACCTGCATTCACTGTTATAGCCGTCTTGTTTTTCATTTCCGTTTAAAACGGCGGAATGGTTTGCTGGCAGTAGTGTCTGCCATAACTGTATGACAGTTTCAGGGTGTATGTTCCCAGGACAGGTGAACATGCCGTCGCGGTCTTCGTCCCACTTGGCTGCCACTGACTCTCCATCGTGCTGCGGCTCCCCCCCCCCCCCCCCCCCCCGGTCAAGCAGTCTGGCGGTTGCACGCATCCCACACTATGCTCCACTACGAGGAAATCGTGCGCCACCAGACGACTTCTTGGGAAAAGCTTTCAACGCAAGCTGTGGATCGAGACACCACTTTGGGGGAGCAAACAGCGTTCTTTGGCGCGGCGTGAGGCCTTGAAGCCGCGTTTTAGGCGGCCGGCAGCAAAGCAACACAGGCGATGCTGAACCGGCGTCTGGGCTAGCAACGCCAGGACTTTGGCAGTAAAAGAAGACGTACGCCTATGTTTAATACACGGGAAGTGAGCACGAAATGGATTTTACAGCTTCACGTTCACAAGAGGGTTGGAACAGAAATTTTGCAGACCGCAACAGTTAGTCGGATCAGTAGTCAGATCAGTAGAGGTGTTTTCTTTCGCACGACCCGACCTTGACGGATGAATGACGCGACAAAAACTGCTAGCCATGGCCATATGTAACGATGTAGATTCCAATGCTTCACGCATATTGTATCTGTTAAGCAAGCTTTGTATCGAGCAATACCATCACAAGCAAATTTTTGAAATGAAATGAATGTCGCCAGGTCAGCATGTTTGCATTGCCTTGTATAGACTCACCGCGACTGTTTTGTTCTGGCGGAAACTTTGCTGTCATGTGCTGGAAGCATTTCTCACCCAAGTCTTCGGCCGCAGTTATTTGTCTTGGCTGTTCGCAGTCAGTTACAAAATACACAACGAAGTGCTCATTCAGGCGAGACGTGCACCAAAACGCCTGTCGACCTAATTACGGCTGAGAGTTTCAGCGATAGCAATAAGCTGCATAGAGCTGCGGCGAGCCTCCTCAGGCCACTACTTTTACGTGATAAACCACTACAGGAGCCACCGGCGCCACCATTTCAAAGTGGGGTGAGACAGGACCTGCGTGGTGTGTTCATCGCAGTCATCGCGTCGCCTGACCTCAGCAGCTGCGCCCATCCAACCCTGAAATTCACGTGCTGGGTGCGGGCCGCGGCGCACAGCGGAGCGGAAGCGGCCGGTCCGTCCGAGGCAGATGGCGCCACCTACCGGCCGTCTGGCGGCGCTGACTGGAGATGCGCGACTGGTAGTTCTTCTGCTCGGGCGTCACCTGGCCCTGGCGGTACTTGTTCAGAGCCTTCTGGCGGTCTGACGCGCGGATGTCGCGCTCCAGCTGCTGGTCCTGTGGGCGAGGGGCCGTCAGAATGGGTATAGGAAACATCGCTCCAGCTGCTGGTCCTGGGGACGAGGGGCTGTCAGAATTGGCATAGGAAATACCGCTCTAGCTGCTGGTCCTGGGGGCGAGGGGCTGTCAGAATCGGTATGGGAAACATCGCTCCAGTTGCTGGTCCTGGGGGCGAGGAGTTATGTCAGCAAAAGTGCGGGACATCGCTCCAGCTACTGGTCCTGGGAGCGAGGGGTTACGTCAGCAGCGGTGCGGGGCACGTTGCTCCAGCTGCTGGTCCTGGGAACGAGGGGCTATGTCAGCAGCAGTGCGGGGCACGTTGCTCCAGCTGCTGGTCCTGGGAGTGAAGACGCCATCAGCGGCAACACGGGCAAGATCAGCAGTGGTACGTAGTTGGTAATAAATGGCCGGACAGCGGTGATCGCCCCCGACGGCACGGCGCGGCTACCAAGGATGGCAAGCACCAGGAGACCGGGAAACGAGACGGTGAGCAGCAGCGTGGTCATCAACCAACGACCCGAAGAGCGTGCCGCTGCTTCGACAAGGAGCAGCCTATTAGCATGTCACTGGGACCCATCGTTATACTGGGCTCACACCGCGGTCTGAACATCACTGCAGATGCGGCCGTACCGGTGGCCGCTAACTCGGCCTCGATGTCCCTATTATCCCGGTGGCCGCTGACTCGGCCTCGCTGTCCCTGCTATCCTGGTGGCCCCTGACTCGGCCTCGCTGTCCCTATTATCCCGGTGGCCGCTGACTCGGCCTCGATGTCCCTGCTATCCCGGTGGCCGCTGACTCGGCCTCGATGTCCCTATTACCCCGTGGCCGCTCGCCTTGCTCTGGGCGCCTTAGTCGAGGTTAGCCGTCACCACAACGGCAGACTGCCTCCGACCCGTCTCCGGCGGCACACCGGTGGCCCCCATCATCTGGGTGTGGACGTCAGTGGTGCCGATGCGTCGTTCGTCACTGTCACACGTCATTGCCACCACGTTATAGGCGACGCCTCTCACCTTGGCCTGCGCGTCTGTGGTGCGGTGGTAGAGCGGGCAGGCCACGCGGGTGAAGTGCCTCTCGTAGAGGCCGCTGAGATGGCCGCTGCTGTCGCAGCCGGGCACCAGGCACCGACTCTCGCCCATGGTGGTGAAGGGGGCCCGCTCCTGCGGCGGCCGCGGTCCGTCGGCGCCAGGCGCGCGAGCCGCTCGCTGCCGTCCGCTCCGGCCGGCCGCCTTGCTGCGCTTCCGCGGCCCCTTGGGGCCCTGCTGGCTGTCAGCTGCGGTTCCAGAGAGGAGTATGGTTAGGGGCCCCTTGGGGCTCTGCTGGCCATCAGCTTTGGTTCCAGATAGGCGCATGGTTAGAGGCTCCTTCGGGCCCTGTTAGCTGTCAGCTGTGGTTCCAGAGAGGATCACAGTGAGAGGCTGCTTGGGGCCCTGTTAGCTGCCAGCTGCGGTTTCAGAGAGGGGCGCGGTTATAGGCCCCTTAGGGCCGTGCTGGCTGTCCGCTGTGAGGGAGGAGCACGGTTCAGGGGCTATCTGGTGTCTTGGCGACTGTTCGCTAGAGGTGGGAAAAGTACGCAATGAGAGCAGACTCTTGGTGCTCAAGTTGGCTGTCCGCTGTGGGGGCGAGCGAGACGCTGACTTATTGGAGCTTATGATGAATGGATAGACAACACGAATACAGCATGAACGGATACACGGCAAGACAACTGTGAAGACAACAGAGAGAAAATGCCCATCGCTTTCAGTGATGCAAGATGAGCGCTCCGCGGTACTCGACAGCCTGCTTGACCGCCAGAGCTCACCCTCAAACGACGAGTGCTAACCACAGCCGCCTTCCATCCCACGCGCCGTGGTGCTCGACACCGTGCATCTCTCGGACCGGTTCGAACACGCGTGATGCTACGTCCTGCACGTCCATCAGCGCCAGAGAAGCCAGCGAGGCCCGTCGCCCTCCCGCCGCGCCGGCGCACTCACCCGTCTCCGACTCCGAGTCGGTGTTGTAGATGGCCGAGCGCTTGAGCGAGCGCGAGCCGCGCGCGCTGCGCGTGCGCCGGCGCACGGCCTCGCTGTCGGACGAGTTGGCCGGCTGTTTGGGCGCGGCGCTGGCGGCCAGCCGGGCCGCCCCGGCTGGCTCCTCCTCGCCGCCCGACGACGAGCCGCTGTCGCCTGCAGCGCGCGCGCGCGCAACACCGCTGCGTTAATCCACACGGCTATGCGATAGTGGGAGAGGAACGAAAAGAACGTAAGGAACGTGAGGAACAAGCCGGCATGTGCGGCCATATGATGTGGCAGTCACAGGTCACAGTCACTGACTGCGTGACAGTGACAGGTCACTGACTGTGTGACAGTGACAGGTCACTGACTGTGTAACAGTGACAGGGCATAGGTCACTGACTGTGTGACAGTGACAGGTCTGCGCAGCCTCCAGTTGAAGACTGGACAGAAAGACAGCCGCGTGGTACCAGCCGGGCATCGGAATCACTCGCGCTGCGCGGCAAGATCATGTTGGATGAGCAGCGGGCTGCCGCATCCCCAATAGATGGAGAGACAATGTCAAAGTATGCCAGCCAGCCACTTCACTAAGTTTTTCGCAGCGAGACAAATTAGAATAGTTGTCTCCATTCGTCGCATATTCGTTGCATGTTCACGAAATGCAACCAAAACACAAAAAACAAAACATGACACAAAAACGAAATAAACCGAAACAAAGCATGCAAAAGGATAACTCATTCTTGAATATCTTTCACTCATGTTCAACTTTTCTCCAGTCATTTGGTATCTTCACGGGACAGTTACGGACTCTTTTCGCTGATCAGATCAGAGCATGAACATGAACATTCTTTACATATGGGGCCCAGTGAACAACTCGAATGACAGTCAATCACACAACCTAAACGTGTCGCTCCGCAGAACACTAAAAAAGTACACAACCCCGTCCACTGACACCCTCCCCCTCCCCCCCTCAGGCATGCCAAAGCCGCTCACCAGAGCCGATACGCGACGAGGCGGACGAGTTCTTGGTGGCGGAGCCGTTGGCTTTCTTGGCGGGCGGGCCAGCCGGCGCGCGCTTGGCCGTGTCGGCTTCGCTGCCGCTACTCTCGTCTGGGCTGAAGATGCTCTTGTTGGCCGCCTTGGCGTCTGGAGGCGCGCGCCGCGCTGGACTGCGCTGGGACGCCCGGCCCGGGACGGCGCCGGCCCGGTCAGCGGCCGGCCCCGTGGTCGAGCTCACCTTGCGGCTGGCCGCCTTCGGGTGCGCGTCCGATGACCTGCCGGGGACGGAGGGGGTCAGCAGTGGGCGAAGCGAGGGGAGAACCGAGCGATGATGTGGTCGCCTCGTGACAGGAGATCACGACCTTGTTCTTCCACTGACATGTGTTTATGTGGTCGTGGGGCTGCGACTAGTTTGGATATATTAAATTTAATTAACTCTATGTTTAACATAATCATATTGTGTGATTCCACACTGCAAAATTCATGTAAACTGTAAACTGGCTAGCAACTCAATTCATACAACATGCATTTGATAAGCAGTTGTTCGAGCATTCTGGCTCATCAAGAACAAATCAGGGGAGAAATATTTGGATGGAACAGCCAAAGTTGACAAAAGAACCACAGCATAAATCAGGGAAAACAAAGCAGCACCATCACTGAGATACTAAATCCCACACCATTACAAACAAATATTCACTTAGGGCCAAAATCAGCACTGAAATAGGGACAAAATTTCATTTGACTTTCACTTAGGGTCAAAATCCAAATGTGTGAACAACAGCCCACAATTGCAATATAATCTTTATTACATGAAGTCTATATCAAGAAAAGCTCACCCATCAAGTGGTTCCTCCCATTTGTTTCCATCACTGAAAAGACCGCACCTGTCAGGCTTTGGCGCAGTTGAATTGCTGGAGGATTTGTGCCAGTCTGAATGTGCTTTCGGACTTTTGACTGGCGACTTCCTGGACCTTTTTGACCCTTGTGATGCAGCAGACTGTGCTGTGTCAGATGATGATGAGTCAGATGAGCTTCCAGAACTGTCAGAGCTGGAGCTGGAGCTGGATGAGCTGCTGGATGACATCTTTCCAGTTGTTCACAATGCACAGCTGCCTGGCACACTGCAGCACTGAAAAGCAGCCACAGACTCAGTGTTTCAATCATGGGACCAAAATGTGATATTCAAATTTGCTACTGCTGTAGGAATGCAATGCATATCAAAATAAACTATTTCAGGCAGATCAATGACATAGTCATGCAGCCATACCCTAAGCCTCAAGTTTAACAATGCAGTCCAAAAGCATTAGTATACATAACATGAAGAAACTATTATTTTATTCACCATCATCAGCATAGGATCAAACCATGTTACACTTGTTACTGACTGTGATGCAAGAACTATGATGCAGTGATGAAATACTTGGAACCCACTAAAATCTCAGACCTGTCTGCCTGTTAAAATATCAGGGTCATCTATCTGTCTGCTAATTTGTTACACATTATCAGTGGCATTTACACCAGTGTGACAATATCAATTTAAACATCAGCATACCAACAACTAGATCATGTCACCACACACTGAAACAAAGAAGTTCTGGCCACTTGTCAGTGGCAAGTGGAAAGTTAGGTGGTTAGTGAATTTAAATGAGCATTGTATAAAACGACAGCAGTCTAAGAACCTATCACAAACGGTTAACGACAACTTGGAACGGATCCATGTAAGAGCCAACTGTCATGTCCAGCAACCAACATTGTATTCTTCCGTACCTTTCTGTACCCAAAACCCCACGGATGCCTGCCGAAACGATCGAGGTTGTTTAATCTGTCATATCGAGCATTCTGGGTATAAGCAAATGGGTAAAAGTCCCCAAATTGAAGAGAAAATAAACGGAAAGATATCTCCCATAGCACTTCCACACAACTATCGCAGTTCGATGATATTATGTGGACATTACCGTTTGTATTAGCTGCGCCGTTAAGACTAACATATCTTGACTACGAATTTACGAATTTAATAGTTCGCGCGGTCGACAAACACTGATCCGCCGCTGGCTCTGTAACTGTCTGCGTTCGGAGGAAATGTTATTCTGATTATCCCGTGGTTGTTCACATCCGACCACAGTACTCCATGTCATCAGACGTTTTAAATTTGACAGGCATAAATGGCAGAGTCAACAACCAAACGAGATCGTTGTAGGCCTGCAGACTGTGGAGAGTCTGTGATGGTGAAGCGATTGTCCGAACAAATAACCGAGATGCATTGAGCCGAATGGCATTTTGTCTGTGTCTTTTTCCACCGTGGCAAGGAGGCGAAATAGCATTTTTTAGCCACAGTTTGCCAACACGCGCCTTTAACGACGCGTCAAATTGACCACAAAATGACGCTTTGCCTAATGGTTTTGGGACGAATGTTGAACTAACGAAACGCCGTTTGAGTAATCCATATCGCATAATGTTGAATGTTTATGCATCAACATGCTGCTCATGGTTGTAGTTGCAATTTTCATGGTTAATGGTTCCAAAATTGTTAATGGTTATAATTGGCTCGCTAAGGGAGTTCTGATTGTGAAGGTTCAACTTGCCGTGCAGGTTAAGTTCGAATCTTAAGTATTACTGCTATGCTCATTGTCCAACCACCACATCACGATCACAATTCCTGGATCCATCGCCCTTGTGGCTCCGATTACTTTCCTACCATACGCAGGTGAAAGAAAAAAACCCGCTGACGTCCTTCCGTGATGTGGAAATGAAAACGTGACGGAATATCTCGAGCTTTTTAATCTTCAACATGCTTCTACCACTTTCAGTGCAGAGTGAGGTCATTAACCTAGAAGAACGTTTAAAGCCTTACGAACACTACTTCGCCAATGTTTAGCACTATATACGGCGAAGGCGATGACTTTAGGCATTTTGCTCAAGCAACTTTTGCTACAGAAAATGTGTTCTCAAGGCAAAAGCAAGTAAAACCTGAAGAGTTCATGACAATCCGTGCGGCGTTTGGAATTAAGGTCCTTTATGATGCATCATTGATTTATTCAAGTTTCGCCCTGCCGACAGAAGCAGTCATGTGCACTGCGAACCCGCTTGAAACGGCGTACCAAAGATGCCCAAAGACGCCCACAGACTGCAAAAGGGCTTCAAGATCACCAGAAGCCATCATGGCCGTCAGTAATTCAAGGGAACTTAAGAGCCCTATTTCCAGCCGGATAGGAAACCACGCATGCTATAAAAATGCAACCTCAAAGGATTGATCAAAAGGAAATTAAATGCAAATGGTCAAATGATTTTTAGGAGCCCGAAAATGTCGCAGTCGATGTGACATCCGGGCGAAAAGGACGTTGAATTAACTCCGAGAAAGCTCCAGTTTGCCAATAAGAAGGCAAGGAAAAGAAGCCTCCGAGACGGTCAGTGGATCCACCAGAGAAGCCCCCGAGACTGTCAATGGCTCCACCAGTGACTTTTAGTACCATGCATTAACAATGACGTCAGATACCAGGTTGTCAAATTAACCCCAATATGGTTGAAGTCCCTATGACCAGCGATGCGCTCTCGGTCTAAAAGGCAATTGCCAGATCGGGTGCAATAGTTGAACAATCCAGAAGCATGCAAACGGGTCTACACAGCATACGAGTACGTCCGAATTTCTAAATAAACCTTCGTGACGAGAACAGCACACGCACACACACACTCACACACGACACCCAACACAGCACCGAGCTTCATGCAACCGATTTTGACCACGCTCAGGGGCAGTCACAGCCCAGTGATGGGAGCGGGTGGCCTCCTCGTCGGCCGAAGTCGCGGGCGAAAGTGGTCCGGTCAGCCGTCCGCAGGTTCCGGTCCTGGTCCCAGTCCCGACCCGTCGCGCGGCCGTGCCAGCCGTCGCGTGACGGAGCATTATCGGGCATGCCGTGTCGGACAATCAAACGGTCGCCCGACGGGAGAGCAGAGCTGGCTGGATAGCAGCGCCGCCGACCTGCTCAGAGGCCGTGGCAGTAAGGGAGCCTCTGATGTGGCAACGGACGGCTGTAAGTGCACCGATGCTGGTCTGCACCTGGCACCGCTCGTCTAGTTGGCTGTGGTTACACAGCTGGTAAATAAAGGCTGCTGAAAACCACCCTCAGGCCCTTCAAGAAATATCAGCTACTTGTTATAAAGTGAAGGCAAAGGGGTGCGTTAAATGTCACAACTGAAGCAAAAATACGATCAGGATGACTACAAGCTGCATCATGATGACTACAAGTAGTCATCCATGGCTACATTTAGTTTCTGCCCAGGGCGCAATACCTAAATGCGTTTGGCTCGAGGTGATACAGCCAATATGTCAACCACCGGGCTAGGTTTAGATCGTTAAGTGTGCGTTTACGTCAACATGCGCGAAAGCCGAATCAAGGAATGAACCCCCGTCAGATACCAGACCGTCTTCGTAAGGTAACGGTATTCACGGCAACAATGTCAGCTATAAAGCCAATATCTTGCCGAACATAGGAAGAAAAAAAAAGCTATAAAGAAATCAAGAACTGTGGGTAGGCATATGCATGGTAAAGTCAGCAGGAAGTATGCTCTTTTCCATTCGGAATTCCTCCCATGCCTTCTCGGCACATTGACAAAGCTACACCATAGCTTTTGTAAGTGACAAACACTTGAGATAAACAATATTCAGCTTCTGTCACTTTCCGGCATTATCTTCTTACGTTGCGTTGACACCCTTCAGTAAATCAGAAGGTGCTGGTTAAGCGACGTGTTTAAGTGCTAAATAACTATTATATTGATTGTGCTCAACATTCCCAGCTATGTTAATCTTCCGCAGTGCAAAGAGCTCAGAAAAATTCGCAAAACCTCATACTTGAAAAACAAGGCGCATGAATCCAGAAAATGTCGCGTTCGCGCTCAACATCCCGTGCAGTGCAACGTTAAAGGCTGCAAAAAAAAGAACACACACACACACACACACACACACACACACACACACACACACACACACACACACACACACACACAGACGCCCAAGCAGACAGTTTATACAGTCCGACAGAGGGTATAAGATAAGATCATTGCTTTCTGCGGGTTAACAACCACCACATTGTCTGAAAGAAAGAACGGCTGGTCTTATCAGCCCTTGGTTTCCGGCGTTGTGATTTAAAAGTTTTTATGTTCAGTTAACGATCTTCAGCATATTACGAGGTGTTGGTTAAACGGCATCGACATGCTAAATAATCACTACATTGAGAGTACTAAACGGAACAGAAAAAGCTATCTACGGCCTGCGGTGGATGTATATAGGAGCTAAATAACCACCTCAATCAGATCAAACACAGCAATCCCAGAGTAATGCAACACAAGCTAGCGTAAAACTCGACACCATTGGCAAATGCTCCACACTGGTAACCTTCGAAGGTACCAAAGCAGGTAGAGGCTAAACAGATAGAACTTAGTTAAGTTATTGAAAAATTTAAAAGTTAAAAGTTACTGAGAAGTTAAAAGTTACTGTTAAAAAAGTTAAAAGTTACTGAAAGAATGCCAGCACCACAGCCGAAACATTTATTGTGATTGTACCCAGAACAAGTTGCCCTAGCACGTGAAAGGAATGGAAGCCTAATCCTTAAGCCATCGGGCAGATGCAAAGGTTTTGCAGTTTTTAAAAATGCGGACTGCGATGACCAAGCCTCGGAATAGCTTATGAGCGCCTGCGCGTGTCTGGTCGTCCTAACCACACTAAACGTTTATAAACTAGAACAAGTGAAATCATCAAAGAAGCTCTGAACTAGAGGCTTCCGAGTGTTTCGTCTCACTTCCTTCGCCTTCATTTCGCGCCGGAGAATGAACCGGTCTTCCCACAAAATGCAAGCGGAATATTCCACTTTGTTTTATTGTGTCCGCACATGGTGACCCTAAAGAGAAACTGCCATGGTTTCTCACCAGGATTTCGATTAAGATTTGGACTCTGATACCTACCCACCTGCCTAACACAGCGCCGCATCTGAAGAGGGTGATGGACATGCTTCCGATCGAGCTTCTCCCAGGTGGTATCGCTCTTACCATAGATGTCACGAATCTGTACGGCAGTTTTCCCATGAAATAAGGCAAGGACTCGCTAATGAGTCAAATTGAAGAAAGCCTGGACATGATATTTGTCGGGATTAGCGCATCTGACTTCATCCAACTACTAACACGTATTAAAAAATAACCAGTGCGTTTCGGGTACTCGATGCGCACGCAAACTAAAAAAGTTGCGATGGGCAACTGCTGATGACCACCACTAGCGATAGTCATTGTTAACTGTCTAAAGAATCCTTTCCAGACAAATATCATCTGAGGCCAAAGTTGCACTTGCGTTACATAGATAACATTTTCGGTATCTGGACCTGAGTGTCGAACTCACTGCTAAAGTTGGTTGCAAAAACAAATATACACCAAGCCAATGCCTTTTACACTGAAGCACGCCGCACAAAGTATGTCAAATGCATTCCTTGACACCCTTTTTATGGCACAGCCCAACTGAAGCTAAACCACAGAACTCTACATTAAAGTGTCCCACATTTGGAGCATATTTCAAGTACGTACTCAAGTTAAAGCCCAAGACCATTTAGTCTAATAATAGCACCGGGTAGTGCCACTGCAGCACCATCAGAATAAAAAAAAAATGCAGTCTAGTTGTTGTCGAGTTAAAATTGCGCTGACAACACTGCATCATCATTACACATCTTGCTTCCATGATAGCCCCGCGTTACCGCTTTCCGGGTAGGCGACACTGTGACGTCATCATGGGACTAAATCGTACGGCACCAACGCTACGGCGGGTACGGCGGCTTCACTGTTCTTTGCGGGCCGGTTTATGGGCGTAGGAACAGGGGGCCAGGGGGAGCCATGGCCCCCACTTTTTAAGGTGGGGGGCCAGCATTGTTAACTGGCCCCCCACTT